TTCTGACCTTTTTTCAAGCAACCCAAAATTTTTAAAAACAAATTTTTCAAAATCTTGCGACCTAAGGATATGCCTAAATTCTAGGCAGTATGTAATGCATCACAAAATTAACCAACTAATATGAAACAACCAATTTTACATAAAATTTATTTTTCTGAAACTCAACTCAAAGTGTGAAAGCTGCGCTTATTTGCCACAATCGAGTTTTCAAAATCGTGGCCTGGCTTTACTTAAGCAGCCTACAGGAGTGGTGACTCCTCTACGGCCCATGAGTCGGGGCCACGACCCATCTGATTGGGCCCCATCAGGGAAAATTCAATTATCTCACCAAAATTTTCAATTTTTACAAAATTGTCAATATTAGAACCAGGAAAAATATACTCCTGTATTAGGCTATGCGTACCAGGTTAGGGTTAGGACAAAATTTTGTTCAGATTTTTCACATTATAGTTCTATTATGAGTTCGGGGACTGTCTGTGTTAGTCATGTGAATAGTCCCTTTACACAAATTGATGGGCCGCGGCCCATAGCCTGATGGGCCGATCCCAATTCGATGGGCCGTGGCCTCGGCCCATGTGCCGTAGAGGAGTCACCACTTCCACTCTAAGCAGCAGCTTCCAAGTTTCTACGCTGTGATACTTACCACATGCACAATTACTATTGAGCAACACTTCAATATAAAATAAGCAATAAAATTTACTAGAAAATAAAAGCAGTTACTTTTAGGTTATTGTTGAAAAAAAAAATAGACCTGAGAAAATTTTCAGGCGACCCAATTTTGGTTTGCTATCCATAGCATAGGTTGCTCACTGCTCTAGGGGTCATGGTATATACTAGGTACCATTCTTAGTGATTGACTGTATTTTGTGACTAAAATACCTTTTATTTTATTCTTTTCATTTGCACATGTTTTAAATTAAAAAACTTGGCTCATAAAATAAAACTGATGGTAACATGTTAAAAGCAGAACTCGGTATTTGTATAGAAAACAATCGGGCCACAAGTATTGATAGTGTTCGAAAGAGGGCCGCGATCTCATGGATTATACCATACCATTTTGTGACAGATTTTTAATAAATATCAATTAATAAAGTTCAGTATAACAACCACAAAAATTCTCTACTTGAATAATAGCTTGCTGAAAACAATGCTGTGAGTGGACATAGGAAAAAAAAACATAAAATTATTTTACTTAATAGCTGTGAATGATGAGTGGTATGAAAACAGTTATAAGAGAATTGTCAAAAGAGTCAATTGACAATGAATTGGTTTACTACAAAAATAATGGTGCAAAAGACAAGTGGGATTAATTGAGAACAGAAAATGTGGGTTCTAATCTTATTATAGATATAACTCTACTGGTGAGTACATAGAACATCACACAGACATTGGGAAATATTAGGTCCTGACAGGTAATGCTCCACTGCTTATTTCACAAAACTACATATCTGGAATGTTGCAATCTGTTATCATACTTTCTCCTATATCCAACACAATTAAATATTATTAAATAAAAGCATTATCTCCCACCTACTGACCTAAAGCCTGAAAGCAGTAAAGGGATAATATTTAATAATCAGACTGTCGAATTTGTTAATTTCAGGTGGACGAAAGATCTGATAGGTAGCAAGTACCTGATAACAATGCAGTACGCTATCATGAAAGAACAAAACACTATTAGGCTCCTGTATTATGCACACAAACATAATTATACAACTCAAATACTGCAAATATGTATTGGCTGAAAAATTCATTAAATAAAAAATATCTGGAAATATCAGAAAATCTGATAAAGTTTCCACAAACCCTAACACAAGATGACATAAAAATTGCAACAATGAATAGATACTTAAAACACTGAGTATTTGGTAATACAGGTAATTTTTGCTACTGTTTTAATTTCAGAATTTGCACTTTAAAACTTATTGCATATTGCAGTAGGCCTATTGTATCTAGATAAACCATTTTGCTTATATCTGTATTTCAAAATTAAATTTACATCTGTCAGTCTGTTTTTCTGATATTATTCAATCCCCTAATTAGTTACACCAATCTTTAGATCTATATAACACACCAGCTTGATTTCAGTCCTCGACTAGCTGTCGACTTTCTGACTTTAGTCGACGTAAGTTAAACCCATGGTAAACTTGATTTAATGTATATTACCGAAACAGTTCTTTTGGCAATAGCCTCAATCAAGCTACTTTTATTGGCAACAAAGCATGCATATTGGAGATTCGATACATTCAACAAAGTATTCCACTCTAAAATTGTATTGAATAAAACAAGCCGAACGCAACATTACTTCACACGGCGATGTGGCCTTACCGAATGCCTCACCCAAATGCTGAGTTTCCGGCTGTGGTCGCGCCCTGAAAATTTATGACATCGTTGCGCCCACTTGCGACTGATTGAATGCAAGGGACTGTGATCTCACAGTTCTTTCTCCCAAAGTGACTGGTTTATAGTCACTTTGCTTTCTCCTTCGCGAATCGCTACTATTTTTTTAGATGGCTACGAGGCTGGAGATGGTTGGTTGGTAACGCCTTCATTCTTCCAAGAGTTGAGATAAATTTCATTTTTTTTTTCCTTATTTAAAGTTTAATATTATACCGTAATTACATTTTCATCATTACTTTCAAAATAATCGAGGCATTATAAAAGCATCGTCACATACCCCCTGCTCAAAGAAAAACTTCTGCAAAAGGTTCATTTTAGGCTCCAGGGAGAACTATTTGAACGAAGATGGAATATAAAAAGTTTTTTCAACACGGATATATTTTACCAAAAAGGTTATGCATCGTCTCTGATTTTACCGTGGCATTTTTAGGGAAGTAGCAATAGTCAACTAATCATTTTTATCCCGTGGTAGAAGAAAGTCAATATTACGACTTGAACATATGGCGTGCCACGGTTTCTCGTCCAGTTATCAGTCCATGTCGGGTATGAGTTAGCCAGATATGGGTTGGCCAGATATGGGTTGGCGGGGGCGAGGGGGGCGAAAAAATCGGAAGAAGTGATATATAACGGGGCGACTGCCAATTTTTGAAATATCAGAATTATCGCGAAATGCGCGTTTTGTATATTTTCTGTCGCAGGGTATTTTTCTCATTCGCGAGCGAATTCACTGGAAGAAAAGCATGACGGATTGTACTTACCATTTATGGCAATATTTTGAAGAATCGATCCACTTTTGTCGATGTAAAGAAGGGATCGGTAACCTTTTGTCGCTCGCGGGCAAAAGTTGAAGGTTGCAAGTCATTGGCGGGCCGCACCTAAAGTTAAAATCCGATCGGATGGCCGATGAATCACATTTTTTCACACAGATCAGAAGTTAAATTTTAAGCAAAAACTGACGATTTGAATATTTTCTGCGCCATTAAACAGTTTGCACTGAGCGTCAACTTTTCTGTGTTTTGTTGTCATTTGTCCAATTATAATAAAATTATAGGCTCAATAAACGAGTAATTGTGGATTATATACTTGTTAGGTTATAATATAATATAGTATACACGTGTCTAAACATAAATTCTGTTACGTAAAGAATATATTCGTCAAAACAGCTGTTCTGTTACTATAATTCAGTGAAGCGTCGCGGGCCGGATCCGGCCCATGGGCCTTAGGTTGCCGACCCCTGATGTAGAGGTATATGCCGAAATATATATATATAGGGAATTAAATTAATGCAAAATGAGAGTACAAATTCTACTATGAGTCGTTTATTCACAATTACAAAGGTGGAATAAACAAAGAGGAATATGCTTATATATGCCGAAATATATTTAGGGAATGAAAGTAATGAGAAAATACTGAAGGTCGAAAGAAAAGTCCAATAGCCTGATTAATTTGCAGCTCACTATCAGTAGAAACTCCCGCAACTGTCGTATATGCAAACACTAAAAAATGCAATTGTTATACATCGGTATGGAAATGGCTTTGTTCCCCTAGTCTTCAAGCACTCCCCCCCCCAAAAAAAAAAAAACTATCATAAATAATTGTAAAAACTAAACTACGCTCTTGATAATTTTCATATTTCTCAGGTCCTGTCCGGACTCAAAAACTCCATGTGACCCATTAACATTACAACTTGCATTATTAACTTTCAAATATTAAATTGCTGACGTGACGTTCCAATTTCAAAAATATCTTCCACACGCTAAATTTGAAAATACGAATACCCCTCCCCCTAAATGAAAAGCTGGGGAACATGATGGATCCCGAGAACCCACAAGAGATAATCGGGGGTTTGGTGGCAATCGTAATTATCATGTTAACATGATGCGTATACCACGCGGGCTCGAGAAGTTATGTATTAGAATAATTATGTAATTAGAATAATTTGTGTAAAACGTTTCACGTTAATCCAACTTACGCAGTGTCATTGACATACATATATCTTCTGAAATGAGGGAACCTTTTGGTAATGAGTTTAGTACAAAAGAGAACCCGTTGTTAAATCCTTAGATCCATTATCATAGAAGATTTATTGCAACGGGTCAAAGATATTCATACCATGTCTGTTTATAAGGCGATACCAACGATACAAATTGTTTATCGAGTGCAGCTACCGTAGTTCAACATTTTAATTGGAAAACCGTTTGGAATACCGTATTGGAATATTAACTAAAATATCGTTTTTTGAATGCTCACAACGTTAACGTCGAGGGTCACTGAGACAGTATATTTTAAAGAAATTGGTTTTTAACATTCCGAGCCTAATGTCGTCTGGTATTATCGTACAAGAAATAGAGAGAAAAAAAGATTTAGCTACCGGTAGTAGTTTATTTTTTATGTCAACTCCCCTATTTAGTGCGAGTGAAGGTTGCACAAGTAGCTATAAAATTTATCACTGGTTTTTATGGTTTTTTTAGCGTTTCCTGCGTGCGCTGTTGGTGATATCGAAATAAAACTTCCTCCCACAATGGGTCCGGTGCACCCGAACAGCAAATCAGACGCCCACAAATGTCGTTTCCGCTAGTGGGCGATACAGAAAAGGGAAGTTGCGTCTTTGGTTACTGCAGCAACAGTGGAAAGTCGGCAATGTTCATCCAGCAACAGTTGTAAAATTGATGTCGTTCAGTTGTGCGACGTGCAGGTCTGCATACAGATTTTGTTGCTACTCTTATGATACTTCAGCTTGGTGAGTATTATCAATTTAATGCTATTCAGTTTCTGAAATTGATCCTTTCTATACAGTAATATATGATAGACTAATTAAAATAAACAGCCCGAAAGTTCAATACATTCCTGTATTTTTTGTGTGTTTATTTCAGGTCCAAGACTCTTTCAACAAGGTTTGTGTTTTTGTGAGTGTGTGCTGGTGAGTGGGCACATGATATTTCTAATGTTTTAAACTTTTTAAAAGTTTTACTCCTCCATTTTAAATTTGTGTCTTATTTTGTTTGTTTGTTTTGCTTTTCAAGAAGTAATATATTTTATGTTTTTTTCTATCTTCTAATTTTATATTGTCTATGTTATTGTATGTGAGTGTATGTGTGTTTTAATTAACTTGATACTTTTGGGTGAGCGAACACAAATCACTTATTTTTACAACACCTTCCAATCTGTTTCAAACCTTCTTAAGGTTTTGTTCGATTACCTGATTCTGCAATCAGTTTTATTTATTTTGTTTTTATCAATTGTTTCATCGTCTTTTATGCTGATTATGGAGTCAAAATAAACTTACTTACTTACTAAAATTAAGTTGGGATTTATTCTATGTTAGGTTTTTAGTAATATGAAACAAGTTTGAATATTGAGGCATTTTTTTTATGCAGATCAATTAGTTTTGCTTCAGCATGGCTATGGAAAAACATTTTGTGATAAATGATACTCACACAAGACCTGTCACTGCTATTGGATTCCACCCACTGAGAAGAGAAATTGTGACCGGTTATGAAGGTATGAATCTAAATATTTGTTATTTTAGGTGCATGGACAGGATATCGTTATTAACCAATGGTTATATGCACCATTCAGCGAAAAACGAAGTTCGTCAATATTTTTTTACATAATTAACCTCCATGGGTTAACCTTCAAACTAATGTTTAGCATGATGCACCAAACTTCTGAGACTTATGTTAGCATTTTTGAATTCTTGTGTAACAATTTTCAGTCTGTGAATACAAAATACAACACACCATTAATAAACAACATTATACTTATATACATTTATATAATTACACAAATCAAATGAACATATTTTGGCAGATGGACTCATGAAATGGTGGGAACAAGATGGCGGGAAATTAATATTGACGACACATGAGCATCGTGGATGGCTGACTGATTTTTTATATTGGTCAGAACCGAAATTGTTATTGTCATCTGCTAACGATGGATACATTATTGCATGGACAAGCAGTGGGACTGTTATGGACAAAATTTATGTGAGAAAATATGATTATAGTAATTTGGTGTCAATTTGGAGCGAATTTTATGCAGAATGTTATATATATAGCTTACCGTATATACCGTATATATAATCCGTCTGACAATTGGGCCTAAAAAATAATTTTAAATAGGTAGGTATGACATGAAATATCCTAATCACAAGGCATCTTTCATTTGTATGGATGGGGGATAGTGGAATCGGTAACTGATGAGAAATAACAAGAACTACACTGTGACATCCAGAAGTTAAGCAATCATTTTTAAAATAATTATATCCAGAAGACTCAAGCTGAGAAATTTGTTTACAGTTAGGGTGGTACAATAGTGAACATGTTCCCAACACCAATCATGAATCATGATACTTAAAAACTTGGCATTCATTGTACCTACTGTACTGTACCATACCATTATATGTCTTATTCATTACTGAGTTTCGTTTTATTCAGATGAATCAGCCTATCTTCTGCATGCGTTTCAATTTAAGACGACATCACTTCATTTGTAGTTTCAATGGACAATTGAAGATATTCAATCTTGATATGAGAAAAACCTATGGACATGTTATTGATTTGAGAAAACCATTTATTGCTGAACACCACAATGATGTAATATCTTGCGTAATATGTCACGATTCTCGAGTCTATACTGCGGGGTAAATGAACTTTTTTTTCTTGTTCAGTTCTTTTGTTTATTAAGCAAAGCAATGTGACCCAAAAACAGTTCATTTGGAGCATGTTATTCTTAAAGAACAACACTTACATGCAAAGTTTCTAGATTACTGAAACTCCTGAATGCAACCATACACAAATAGAAGTGTTGAATAAATTTTCCTCATTTTCATAGAAAGTAACTTTATGTTTTTTGGATCACCCTATATAATTAAATCGTCTTATAAATGTGGAATGTAACTTGGAAGATTGTTTATTTTGAAGTCCCCCGTGGTACAGAAAAATGACAACACAACAGGTAATAGCCACATTACAAAGCCAAAAGTATTACATGGACAATCTAACCTTGTGCCATAGAACATCAATGAAAAGATGATGAGATGTTCTTTTTTCTAGATTTAAGCTTACGAGCTTGTGCGAATATATGTCTGTTTCATACACACAGAAGCAATGAAATTACAGACAATTATTTTATGAACATAGATAGATATGAGCCCTAGCATTCGGGCTTTAACGTTGTCCTCGAAAGTATGAAATCCATTTTTTAACATTTGTTAGCTCAAGATTTCAATTTGAAGACAATTATACAATTACAATTTTAATTAATTAATACAATTGTATTAATTATACAATGACAATTTTATAGATTTGATGGAAGATTCTGCATTTATGACACAACACTTTATCCTGGAACAAAAGGTTTAGATTTAATTCATAGAATATCACGAGCTCATGAAGCAGGAATAACATGTATGTCTCTTGTAAAGGACAATGAGAACAACACATGGTAAAATCTGGCATTATTGATTTGAAAGTATTTCTGGTCTTGATAACGAAATCTTATAACTAGTGGCACAGATCGGAATATTTATAACTGAATTTTTCTTGTATAAAGGCTCTATTTCAAGGTCATGTAGCAGAGAAACCTTACTGGTTTTTTACTGGGCATATTTTATATTGGCATCCAGTATATTCACACAGATGACAGTTATCTAGTTTAACAGTTGGTTGATATTGATTCTATACATACCTATTTTATCAGGGTATGAGAAACTCTGTTTCAATCAAAACTCAACAGCTATATTAATTATACTAACAGTAGAAGTTCCGCGAGACTAACTTCCAATCCTTTAATGCCTTTGCACTAGTGGATCTATAGTTACTCTCGTAGTATGTGTACCAGGTTAGGGTTAGGCCATAATTTTATTACGATTTTCCTAGTTTTAGTTCTATTACGAGTCCGGGGACTGTCTGTCTTAGCCAAGTGAATATACCCCCTGCCCATAGGCTTCCGCCCCTTCACACAACTTGCTGTAAAGTAAGCAAATTAAAAAATTATACTTATGTTAGTGGGCAGCAAGACTCTTGAATTGCATAGTATATTATTTGAATTGCTCTTTTCGTGATGTCTTATTTCTGATGAAGACATACGTTTGTAATCTTCATCCATGCAAAATGTGTGAAAAGCGTGAAAAAATATCTTAGAATCTGATATTTTTTCTCACTGAAGATAAGAATGTAAATTCTAATACTAATGATTGAAAACTAATCAGTGTTCCACTGTTAAGATACTTGATGCCGTTGTTTTCAATTGCTGTCAAACATCTCTGCAATTTAGTTTCATAATTTTTTATAAATATCTCTCAATAATTCATGTTACATCCTAAATCTAGGTTACTGACAGGATCATTCGATCGAACAGTAAAAGTTTGGTCGCAGGATGGTAAGCTGAGACATGAACTTGAAACCATCTTCCTACATACAATAACTAGTTTATGTTATGTATCAAGAGCAAAAACTGTTTGGGTTGCATCTGGAGCTCCTCATGCTACATTGTACGATCCAAAAGCTGGAGAGAACGTGAGTTAATTTGGTGATAGTTAATGCGCTTGTTAATCAGCTCGCTTGCAAGTTTTGGCATGCCAACATTTAATTTTATCATTAATGAAAGTTATACCTGATTTGTAAATGTTAGGAACTTCTTATTAAGATTTAAATCCTTTTTATTAACAGAAAATACAAAATTTATATTTTGAATCCGCTTCTACAGTTTTTTTGTACTTCGCTTCTGCACGCTTTTCAATTGGAACAACCCTTTGTATGAGCAATAAGTAATGAGTTGTTGAAAATTGGAAGGACCGATATCTTCCCCGTTCTTCATTGCCTACCCAATTTAATACACTCTGGTTGAAGTGGGGGCATGGAATTTGAACCCAATATGTATAATCTGAGATACCAATACAGTTAAGCCTACCACTTTAACAGCTGCCTTTAAACAATAAACGTACCGATATCTCAATTTTCTTTGACAAATTTGACCAACTTCTCAGGTTTCAGAGTTTTTACCTACATTTCAAACTGGACCAAATTCAGGAGAAGAATCACAACATAAAATATTTAAGCTTAGATATAATCCTGAATCATCACAAGTTGTTGGTAAGCAATGAAATCTTCCATATTTAGGATCATGTTGTTTAAAACCTCACTGCATGATTTAATTCATGTAATAAAAATCTATAGGGGAATATTCAGTAAGATACATTTTTGCTTGTGCAGGTCCACAGGTTCGAATCATATGCAGTATAATTATGTGTGAGTGAATTGCTGGACTCCTTGTTGTATTAAAGAGGTCCAACCGCTGGCTGATTACAGCTTCTCCTGCTGTTGAGTATTTGCATTTAAAACAAATAACTGTTAACTAGCGTAATCAGATACCTGACATGGACTGATAACCGAATGAGAGGCTGTGGTTCGTCATATGATTAAGACATCTTATCAGCTTTGCTCTTCCCTGAATAAATATGAAAACCGATCCTAAAAACTTCAGTGGCAATGATGAACAATATACATAGATCTAAATGCAACTCAGTGATTACATTCCAGCAGAAAACGATTCAAATGAACTGAATTTTTTTAATCCAATGGTACCTTTAACAATTCCCCTCAAAATAACTTGAAAGGTATGAACACTTGATATACCTTGTTATACTATTGAAACATGATTGTATTTTTCCTAGGTACAACTCACCGGCGTCAAATTATTGTATGGAAATACAATGCATTCGGTTGTATGACTGCTCTTAAATGCAAACATCCTATAGACAGTGTCTGCTACAGTAAGTATCATCAATTTTTTAATCGAAATGTTGTCTAAACAATATTGTAAATTCATTTCAATAACAGGTAGATTCATATTTCAAACGCATATTTTTGGTGGAGCTTTTAGCTTCTATTTTGTCATAGCTATTAGAAAAATAAAATATGGCAAACCATATTATTTTCTTAATTACTTATGTAAACATGAAAAGAATTTACTTGAATTCCTATCTGTAATGACTGCACCCAAAAGTTTGAGGAATTAGGATGCCTCGTACATAAATTTTGTTCACTCTCTTTGGAGTATGCCTGGAAGTTTTGTGGTATATGTGGCTGTGTTTTTTATGTGTATGTGATTGCCCTATCTCAATCTCTTGTTAGCTGTTAACACTTTTAACAATTTTTTTTCAGCAAAAAAAGTTCCAATGTTATTGTTTTCTGGTTGCGGTGATGGAAGTATTTACAAATGGGAGAGACTCCAATCAAGTCATTTTATGTACAGGTATAATGTCCATGAAAAGATTACAACACGGTGATGTTTCATTACAGCATCAAACATTGTGACATAATGTCTATATCCACATAATTACGTATTTCAAATTTCAACATAATTAATGTGGATTGGATTTATTTTGCCTAAAAGTTGAAACGCGAATTCAGTGTCAAATTTTGTTTCAACGGAAATCCTTCAACATCTCTACTAAACATGAATTGTATAAATCCAGATCAAATATCAAGCATGAAGCTTGAAATAAATGCTTTATCAGTTTCTCATTTACATATCGTTTCGCATATTATATTTTTTAATCTTCCTGCCTTTAAATAGATACTTTTTCCACATTAGTTTAAACAAAACATCATAGTATTATTTAATTTGTTAAAGATAGAAAAAACTACGATTTGCTAAATATTTTATAAGTCGGATTTGAATAACCATATAATTGTTCAAAGAATTGGTTTTATTCAAAAAATTTGGTTTCTTTAAAATTTTAAATGTTTTCCTGGAATCTTGAACAGCATGGAATCTTTGACAAGAAAAGAAGCGAAAGATAAGTTGGAATCAATAAAAAACATTCGGGGTTTAACAAAAAAGAAAAATCATCTGAAGATAGAACATTTGCGTCCACACAATTCTCCATCAAGTCATTATACTTACAATAAATCTATCTTCGCACCATCTTCTCTTTATCACGGGTGAGTATGCCTAGGGAAATACGTTGACAATTCTAGGGTGACGCATAATTTTTGCAACTATATGCTGAATTTGCATGATACGACACTGATTTTTAATATCTAGTTTCAAAAACTTGAATGTTTGAGCTTTATTCAAATTTAGTTTAGTTGGATTATTCAAAGTTTGGCCCTTTTTGTTGTATGTCGGTGAATGGGTGAATATATGCAATTGAAAGTAGGAAAAAGCTGTAACAGATAAATCCACACTCAAAAAAGCTGGAACGATTCTATTGATAAATACTTAATTATGTCATTTTGCTGATTATTTCATTAAGGATTAAGATTCTTAAATATATATTTTGTTCTTCGTATAGTGGCATTCAAATCAAGTTTCTTAAAAAAGAAGTTCTTATTCCCAAAACCACGAATATGATGAGGATTCTTTAAAACGCCAAACATATACAACAATGCAATCCTTTTCAATCTCTTTTGACATGATATCTAGTTTCGAACATAAGAGATATTTAAGTATTTTAATTTACGCAGTAAGATGATGAATCACATATATTTTAATGACAGGTGATTTACAATCATCATTATAAATCTTTTCTAACCCAGCTCATTCCAACAAGTTATCAATAAATAACATTGTTACACAGTGAATCTTTAACAACTATTCCCAGCAATTTATGATTTTATTAAAAGTAAATAAGTTCTTAAAACGAGCATTGGGAGATACACCACAAGGAGTGTCTAACTCACCATCATCACTGATATTTAAAAACTATTGTGGAACTTTTTCTTGATCATTTTTATCGATGTGTGTGCCAGAAAAAAATTTGGAACACTTAGAATAGGCTGGAGTTATCTTTGTGCAACTCGCTGACCAGCCTGTTCATAAGAAAGTTCCGAACACTAATCTGGAGTAAATTTACCAAGTACTGGTGTTTTGGATCTATTGCCAAGATGACAATGACTTTTGGCATCCATGTTTTAGAGTTAGAAATCCCTTCAGTCATTTTTTATTTTCGACTGAAGCTCATGTCTTTCCCCGAAAACCTCCAAGAAACTTCTGGAAATTTATACCTATATATAATATATCTAGCTCTTTCCATTGAATGTTCCTAGCTCATCGTCCAGTTAGATATTTAATGGTTACGTGGCAGTAGGATCAACAAATGTTGCAAATTCTTAAGCAGCATAACATTAAATAACATTAATATGTCAAGAAAGTTTCAAAATGTAAGTTTGCACAAAAAGTTGAAAAAATGGATGAGCAAGGGAAGCATGAGAGAGAAAACCTCTTTGAAATTACATTAGAAAAATTTGTTCACACAAAAATTATCAACTATCGACATTCTAGTCTCCAGTGATTACAAAAAAATTTGATGCAAGACACATAACTGATTATAAAACTTCGTGGAAAAGGCTTGAAATTGAGATCGAATAACAAAAGCCTGTTCCTACGGAAGTTCCGCAACCAATTAGCTAGTCGTTTTTCGCTGGTAACCCTGGTTAAACAAACAAAAATCTTCCGCAGCAGAAAATGACTGACCAGGATGAAAAACTCCAGGTCCAGGCAGAAGAAAACGTAAAAACGGCCTGTTCCATGGAAGTTTCAAATTCTGATCGTCGTGGTTTTCCGAGTGTATCTATAAGAATTGCCGTTTCCTCTGAGATTACCATTACCTGATGGCAATCGAGACTGAACCAAGTACAACCGTATAGTGTTGTCATTATTGAAGAAATCGAGCGACTCGCTGAATATGTCAATTTGTATGCCTTCTCTAAACGCCCGTGATGGTTTTATTATATAAAACAGCGGTATCATCTCAGGTTACCCGAAAAGAGATCATATAAATTAGATCGTTTTTTTGAAGCTGTCATTTACGTCAGTTCAAGGTGTAGCCTCATGAATTTTACATTTGCATCCACGCTAGAAGAGTTACTGGTATATATGATTTATTTGTACCGGGAAACTTTGTCTGATTCCATAACTGAGCGCATGGACACGAAGATGTCTCAGTAAAAAATATATTCAAGGCAAGTTTCAGGGCGATTTTTATTGATTTCACTGTGTGTTATTACTTTACTGTTCAATCGATGTTTGTAGCGAGACGTCGTGTTGAGCCTTCTGGAATAGGTTCAATTCTTTATGTCAGACAAACCTATTCCTTAGAAAGTTCAATGCTTCGACCGCCATTTGTTTTTCAACCAGAATATTGTTAGGTTGAACCGATGCTACAATTCTTTTATTATGGGTAGTGTGTTGTGAAAAGCTTTTGCGCTGAGCCTTGGAATGTTTGCCCTTCTACAACGACAAGCCAAGGCCCACCGGAAGAACCCGGGGTTTCCCGCGTTTTCTCTCGAAGGGAAACCACCTTGTATCAAAATAGATCGCAAATTCAACCTCTAAATTATCTACGATACAAGTGTGGCTATGAACGATGTGCTTAAATACTAGAGATACCGGGCGCAACAGCAACACATTATACGAATAAATCGATCGTAGTTCTGGGAATTTGCTGAACTTGAAGCACCGATTTTACGAACTTTCTAAGAGTAAGTCTTTCCGTTTCAAATTATATAGTTCGTTGTCTTAAAAGACAACCGAACAAACAGGGGACTTATTCCTGGGAAAGTTCACAACATCAGGCCCTATAAAATAGAAATAGAACGTATATAACGATTGGATAGAATACTTGATAAAATATTTTATCTGCGTTTATCATTTTTGCACATATTGCATTAATGTGAGGAACGTACGTTGACTCTGGTAATAAATAGTCTTACTTTCATTTTACTTTATAGCCGTAATTAGGCAACTGTTGGTTTTGCGCATTTTATGATCGGATACTTCTATTATACACGGCGAAATATGTTCCGCACTCAAGAAGGCGGGTAACTCTTTGGCCATTCTCGGCAGATGAAAATTGCATGTTAGCTCGATGATTCAACGACCAAGCTGACGAAAATATTTTGATGTCGAGATTGGCTGGTTTGAAGAACGTCGTGACTCACTCTCGCTTAGATAAACAACTCAACTATGACACCTACGCGCTTGGTACCGCAACAAGGCTTAATTACGCTCGCTATGTGGGTTTGTTACATAGCTTGAATATGTGGAAAATTTCATCTCTTGTCGACGAAAAGGAAACTTAATTTACTTTTAACTGGATGCTGCGTTAGTCGAACTATGAAGAATTCAAAAATGACGTTTTATAAATCAAAATGGACCGTTTAATACGGGATTTATGATTCATATGTATGAGATTTTTAAGGGATGTAAAATCGAATAAATCATCATTTCTTGCGCAATAAATCTCTAAAAAATTTATTCGAATAAAATTGTTGAAAATTTCTCTAGATTCACTTACGTATCATATTGACACGTCTGCCCATCATTTGTACACGTATGATCAGGAACTAATACTATTTAAAATGTTATTCGATACGTAATACCGGACGGACGCACCGCTTCCTCCAGCTTTTTCCACTTTATATACACACGCAACTGCGTCACATACGTAGGTCGGAAACCGTTGACCATTCGAATCCACGTTCAGCTGTTGAATAATAAGTTCGCCATTTTGTTAGTATTATCAGATTGTTTACGAATTTGAAACCTGACTTTTCTAATGTCGAAGCGTAACATCTTCTCCATACAATTTGTAATGTTAGATTAGAAATGGCGAATTTTTATACAAATAGCAGGTTTAAAGGGAAATTCAACTAGTCCAACACGCCATCATTGACACATTTTCACAAATTTCTGTATCTGAATCATACTATCGATGACGGTTGCTCTGTAAGATTGAAAACTTCAGAAACTTGCCAACGCCTTTTTATTATACTCGGCCTGTTCCATAGAAGTTTCACACCTTAGTGGCAAAAATTGACTTCGCTTTCGTACCGGTAACTATTACCATGCGCTATACATAGCTCAATTTAGATATGCTAAATAGACTATTTTCATAGTCATTTCTGCCTAAAAATCCTCTCTTTACAAAGTGATTTCGTACTGTTGTTGTCATACATGTACTAAACTAGTCGACGCTAGCTTGCGGCGGTTCAGTCGGCCTTATGGTCATGTTTTTCGCTCTTAGTTTTCGTCGAAGCTGATGTCGATTAGTCATACGGACGACCCGCGTATTTTAAATCGCCAACAATCGCTCACAACGAACGGCGTTCCGAAAGCATTGTTTACTCGATCCGCTGCCCTAGTTTTTACGTCGGTCAAGCGTCAGTGTTCCCATATTATTTTCTGCGATTCAATGATGCCACACTGTATTGTTCATTTCAAAAAAGCCTTGATTTGGTCAACATTATGCTACAACTATTTATAACGAATTCACGCTATTACGATATTCAAATGTCTCAATTTTACTATAACCTTGAATTTTTTATGAAAGAAAAGTATCATTGGGAACACTGAGTTACGATTTTCACACGGATTTGCGTGTATCCGTCACGCGTGAACGATGATGTCCTATTTCTGCTCTCGATTACGCTTTTCATTGATCGTTTCATTGTCCAGATAATGTGCTGACCGTTGCCAAGAGAAACTTAAAATATAGTTTGAAACACTATCACTATCATTCACAAAAAGTTGACCCGATTTTTTTTCAATTCTACAAATACCGTTATTTGATATTTCAGACATATTTAGTAGTGAATAATTAAGGCATTGTCGATTTCAAACTTGTAAGCTTGCTCACTTTCTGAGCATTGACTTCGATTCGGAGAAATATTACGGGTATCTCGAACCCAGGCAAAAATTCAGCAGTCTAAAATCAAATTGTAATATGACGCTTTATTCAATTAAATCATGGTTCATCATATTTAGCACCGCTCTGTTTTAGCTATGTCGTTCGAAAGAACAATTGTGCTTTGAACAAAAATTTGATCAAAAATTAAAGTCCAATTGCCGATTCCGTGACTGGACTTCGTAATAACCGTAAAGGAAGTATAACTCCTAGATTGGGACTTAGGTATATCAGTGTCAGAATTTAAATAAAAACAATTATTATCTTACCTTGAAAATTCTCTCTTCGTTCTGCCGCCTTCTCTTTCAAAGTTTCTTCGACATCTGGAAAGCGAAGTTGAAAACTAATCTTTCCTCGCTTCTCTCTCTCGCCTTTTTCTCTTTCTGCACATGCGCACTAAACTTCCCATTTACAACGTGGTTCTAATAAACACCCTTGAGCCGGTTTTGAACTCGCCTACGGGGAAAAAGGAATTAGAGCGGAATAAAGTTATTCTTCTACTTCATCAACTAGCATCGGACATTTTTATGATCTACTTTGCTAGTTAGATTGCGATTAGTCGGCAAATACATCATATAACGAGTTTTTCGACGTATATTATCAGTAAGTTTACAAGAACATCTTTATACAGTTTTAAGTTTGACGTGCAGTTATACTTATTGACGAATTTAAAATTTAGTTTAATACTTTCGAAGCTGGAATAGAATTAAAAAATTCACCGAAATTATCACGTGATATTCCGACTTGATTGTCCTTGAGCTCAATGGAATCCAAACAACCACAATGATTCTGACTGCCATCTTACATCATTTATATCATATCGCTTTCCTCTCTCGCCTTTTTCTTTTTATGAAATATGTCTGGAGCCCGGCTTGAGGGCCAATTTCCTGAGCTCGTTCTCGTCTTCCGTTAACAACCGCCCCTCCCTCTATCAGCGCTTCTCTTTTAAGCTCTTATCAAGACGTCCAATTAAAAAGCTGCAGCTTATCCCGCAACGTGTAATTACTTTGCACCCATGGATTTATTTGTTGTCTCTGTGTGTGATTTGATTTATACTAATCCTCGAATCAAATGGTATTATGCGTAATTGGTCCTTTTTTAGCCAATGTTAGCGTGGCTATATTCTACAGCGTATCTTGTTTTATAACTCCATATGAGGGATCATAGCTCACAGACTCGTTATTTCTTGCAATTAATAAATATCCTCTTGGGCAATAGGATTTTCTCTGATTCAAAAATAAATTGATTGTGTAATCGAAGGACCCTTGCTTGTGAAATAATGTGATATCTATTCGCCATGCTTTCGCTCTGGTGGAACATGGACGCTGTTTGCAAGAATTGACATAACTATTATAAGTGATCCAAGAAATTTACTATACACCGACACGAATACGTTTCATTTGATCCGTTACATTTTTACGGGCAATACATTCAATGAATTTTGTATCAGATAGAATTTTTGTATTTGCGCTATATTTTCACTTCAAAATTGGGATATATTTGATATTTTGGATTTGTCCAAAAAGACTGGAAAAGTTCCAACATAGTTGACCATAGTCCCACGTAAGTTCGAACGAGACAAAGTAAAAACAATATAGTAATTTTGTTCATTCATTAATAAATAATTTGAATCCACGTGTATAACCAATAATTAGCAATTAACTAGTAAAAAAAATCAATTCAAAGTACAGGCATACTTTTAGAACCTGTTCAAAATCTGCATGGATGTCATTTATTTTTGCACGCAAGATTTTCAACATCGGCGTCGTCCATTTTGTTTGACCTGTTTAGTTATTGTGCGTTCACTTCCATGAGCAAAGAATGACGGCGTCACGGGTGATGAAACGTCACGCTGTGTGAACAGAAATATTAAGTTCGTGTCACTTATTTGCCCTCAAATACGATTCATACTTTGGCCTTGATTGTCTTTTATAAGAACTTGAATTTTCGGTCGTCTGCGTTTTGGTAGTGGTAAACATTGCTGCAAGTTTTGCCATTGCATCGGTAGTATACGGTTAACGGATGAACCGTATTTGTCAAACAAAAAAGCTAACGTGTGACGTTTAAACTACAATGCACATTCGGTGCTAAGTATTTGGAGTTTTGTAAAAATTATTGTTCGTTTTCTTGCGTGTCTCAGTTTTTATAATATTAAAAGATTAATCTTCTAAAGACATCATTATGTACGGTACTATCTTTTTTTATTTCCCAGCCACTTAATTTTTGATCTGTTTTGTTTAATTTTTTTTTTTTTATATAGGATGAGATGGGGCGTTTAGCTAACCTAACGTAGATGTGCAGAAGTAGAGAAGGCATATCAGAAACTTAATGTTTGGGCAATAACGGGTAGTACCCTCCGTATTATTTTCTGATGAAACTAATCTTGTTAGTTTCAGTAATTTAAAAATAGTCGCCAGAGACCGTAAAATTCAATACTTTTTATGAACAAAGACACAAAACACATCGATAACAACAAAGAAAATTAATTATAACAAGACAATGAAAATCATTTATGACTGCTATGCAGTTAATGCAAACCGAAACGCCTGGAGGCTGCCAATTTTACTCGTTCTGGGAACAATAACGGGTTATATTAGAAGGTATTTCGTAATACCTCTAACGAGTGTTAAAATTATTGTTTATTGTTTTCCTTTTTTGGTGTTAGATTATAAGCGCAAGTTATATCCTACTTCTAAAATATATCGTTCTCAAATGAACGCCTCGTTATCGTGAATATTTCTATTAGTCTGTTTGTTATCGTTATTAAATTCTGCGAGTTCGTTGTAAATGGTAAATGTCCAATAAAAAAGGTTTTCTTTTGGATCGTTTGAATGGTAGGCTTGATTTGTATTTAGGCAAGAAATAAGTCTTTCAGAAATTTCGTATGGAATTCGTTTCTGAAGGTTATCCATGCTTCAGAAGTGCTTTTAATGTGATATTTCAAACCTCAGTTTCAAATTAAATCTCTAAGGTCGAAGCAACCGAATTGCAGTAATACACTCACTATTCTGATATGGTCAATGTGTCTTCAATCACAGTATCTAGAACCATGAAATTGAAAATTACGTTTTCCTTGAGAATGAGCTACAATGAATACACTAAGTTTTTATTGTCATTTCGATAAGTCGCCTCTTCATATTATTATTAATTTATACATGTCCCTTCTACATTATTATGGGCATCAAATGCTTAAATGGGTTATGAAAATGAGCCCATATACAGAACTACAAAGAAATAGTCATATATATGTTCACTATTTTTAGTCAACACACTTAGTCAATTCCAATCAATTTGAATGTGGATTACTTTGCCTTTCAAGTTGAATTGTCGCCATGAAGTTTGTTGTGACCGCGACTGGTCACGTGATGGAAATCCTCGCAATTTGCAAAACGGATTATCTTTCGCACAGGGACGTTTTTGACCCCGATGACGTTTTTTTCTCTTCCGGATTGAGGTCAAATATGTTTGTTTTCTCTTACGCTGGTCTGTCTGGCGGATTTAATTAATCGCGTTACGATTCAAAGACAATAAAGAATCTGATTTGTCTGTGTTATTTGAATAAGATTTTAGGAAATTTATAAATTTGTATGGGGCAATTGGAAATTGAAAACCACCAGGAATTATCGGGTTTTGAGAAATTTGGAAACGCGAATTGAAATAGGCCTGCCTTCTGGTTCATTGTGACGCGACAATAGGAAATATCCTAATGTTCCCATATTGTACCGCTGTAGACACGTGACCTAATTTTTAAAATAAAAATATGTATACTAGGAATGGAAACATAGAAACTTTTTACAACAGAAAAATTAAACGAGGCACTCTTCACATTTGCCATTCGCGCTACGTATAGTAAGCGTCAGACATATACGATGTCAGACAAACGGATATTTAAATCTAAACAGAGCCGTAAAAAGGTGTTTTAGTTGAATTGGGACAATAGCTACATGACTTTAAACATTAAAAACAAATATTTTAAAGGTATTGTATATCCATTAGTTTGTACCGCCTTAATTAATTAATGCGGACAAAAATGTCACCGGCACTGGGACATTAATTAATCATCTAACAGTAATCATTTATATTCGACAGAACATAATTTTAATATCTAAAAACAAAATAAATAATCGAAACAGAACGTTGATTTAGGACAAAACATCCGGTAGAATCAAGAATTTCCGACGGGATAAATCATGATACGCCAATCACAACTTAATTAATTCAAGCGCGAATTTCCGACGGCCTGTCTGCAAATCTATGTTTATTGATTAAATGGAGCTATCTTTGAAAGCTTCTAACCGACTGGAATTAACTCCATACTATCTTTTCCTTGCAAAGCCATGATGATAGCTACTGTACTACTGTAAACAAAGCATCTTTTGATGTAAACACATTTATGTTCACGATACAATTATATATATATTGAAAACGAATTAACATTTCATTGATGTATAGCCATATATTTTCGAAAAAAGCCTCAAGCGATCACTTCAAAAACAAAAAGTCATTCATAAATTATATTAAACTACGATGTGCCATAAAGTTTGATTTAGGATTCAAATGTTCCATTTTGGCCTTGTATTTTTGTGATCAACGAGTGGTGCAAATTGGTGTTTTAATATTTCTACACGGTAAGTAATTGCCCTAAATAAACCTTCGATATGATATAGCTTTGGTTTTTCAAATTTTTTATATTTACGACTTTGTGGAAATATGCTTACAAGGTATTTCGCTCGACCATAGAGTGAGTGCTCGTGTCAATGCGCAGAAGCCCTTTGCGACTCTCTCATTCTTTGACCGACCAAAGCTGTAGTGAGTTCACAATGTTGTTTTATTTTATACCGGGTTGGAAAAGTTATTTTCCTATTTTAGAAACAATGTTTCTCTCCTTTCTGGTATTTACGTTGAGCATTTGGACATCCTTATTACGTCATCAGAAGATGGGAACATCTACATATGGGGGTTTGATGAAGCAGCAGTTAGTGCGTTGACCAAATTATCCCCGGAAAAGATGGATGGATCTCCAGTTCACAGGTAAAAAAGCATTGAGCAGAAGTCAAATCCCATTTCTAGGACGTTTTATTACATAAGTGGGGAGATTAATATTTCTTCTATTCGTTTTGTTTCGATTTCGGCTTCTTATCACTTTGTTACAAACAAGCCGCACCCTCGACCGGAATATACTAATTAGAATTTCATTTTTTTATATAAAAAATTTCCTCTTGGAACAAATGACTGACTATACACGTCCCCTCTTAGTGCTAGTGTGATAGGATTGTCCTAATCTTCAAATTGGTATAAATCAGTGGTTCCCAAGCTTTTTTCAGGATGACCCCAAAGACAACTTCCAAGTGTCCAGTGCGACCCCAGGTCAATATATATATATATTTTTCATGAAACTTTAGAGCTTCTTTCTCTGGACTTTTGAGTTTGGTCATGTGGTGGTATTAAGTAAAATAAGCTAAAACCCAACAGTGATGTCACAATAAACACCTATATTTTCAATAACGAAAGCATAGAGTGATGCCTATGTGCTAATTTTACTTTAAGCCATGATACAAACTGCTAAATTTAACCTGGGTCGTCAAATCTTAGATGAGTTGTACATCCATCCTCTACCATACCTCAGCGACCCCACCGACCCCATGACCTGGTTGCGACCCTACCTATTTATCACTCCGACCCAATTTGGGGTCGTGACCCCTGGTTTGGAAACCCCTGGTATAGATAGTATAATCCAATGATTCCGATATTAAGCAACATCATCATCTAGGGGCGAATAGATTAGGGGACGAAAAGCCCTGGAGGGGCAGTAACGCATTCGCCCAATAGTCAGAATTAACGTGAAACGAAATGTCTTTTACAAAAGATTGACGTGATATATTTTGGTGTAGGTCACCTGGCAACGAGGTCATGGCAACGACGACGTAGATCCAATCATTCTTTCATTTCTAACATCTTATTTGGCAGAGAAACGGCTTATAGCCGTAACACTAATGGTATCAAAACAAAGAAACCGCCTTTACACTATTGAGATTGTACCTGACATAAATGTCAGATCCCAAGATCGTCTGTGTCAATAAAAACGCCATAATGTATGATTAGGCTAATTGGTTAATTGGGGTATATATTTTACATTTTTTCAAGCAGGCAAGTATGTAGGAAGCAACCTCTCTCTTCTGTAGTCTACCAAATTTATTATAAATTTGTTTCACAAGAGGTTATTATCAACTGGCAACGCCAACATAATTAGGTCGGACATGCCGACAATATTTTGTTTGCGACAAACATGAAACCATGACATCAAACTTACCAATTCTATATTTACACCAGGAAATACAGCGTCTTATTTGGAGATTTTAGACGAAATAATATGACTCCGATCCCACCTCAAAAACTATACGGAGAAACGTTGAATAATGGCTTAATTATGGGAGACGGAAGAGACGATGACGAAGTAAACGAGATTTAACTCAATTTACTGCTATATTCGTGGTGATATACAAACCGTCGCAACATGAACAGTATCCGGGCCAATAGTCATTATTAAAATGGAAAAAACTGACTGTGGCATACAATATTACAGAGAGTTGAGGGCATCTAAAATTGTATTTTTAGTTTTGTATCAATGTGATAAATTGCCTTCTGATTACCTTGTGATATTGTTTACACCCGTGCTGTTGATGTATTATTATGCTTTAAAAATGACGGACGTCTCTGGCAGTAATACTATGTGAAAGTCACTAATCTTGCCTCCAGCACCTCTTTCAAATCTTACTGTTGCTATTTAAATAGAGTTTTACGTTTTTTATATAGCCCTGAACATAGAGGGTGTACCCCAAAACAGAACCCACGTCCTTTGAAACATATTCTAGAGATAATAAAACGTAAATTTGGGGAAAATTTTCTAGAATATTTGTGGGTACACAAACAGAAGTTCAATTGCTAAATAAATTTGATTCATTTTTGTTGAAGTAATTAAGAAGTTTATGGGCTTTGTTTTTAGATAACCATGTACTACAAGCGTTATGCTACATAGGTTTTTGGGAAAAAAGTAAGCTCCCTTTGTAAATATCGACAATGTTACAATTTCGACAATCATCAGATAGGTAATTCCCCTTTTCCCGGGGTGATTACAAAACCCTGTTTCAATTATAGAAACCGATGGAAGAAACAAGACTAGAACCAGCTGCAGGCGATGCTACTCTAATTCAAGAGAAAGTGACCGACAGTTTCGCTGACTCTGTGACAAATAGAGTGGCTGGTTTCATATGCAAAGATGTTCTTCTGGGGCACGAATCTTGTGTGACGTCATTTGCTATCGTTGATAAGGAAGAAGAACACGGAGCCACTTACATGGTAAGTCATCTGTGACGATTTACGTAAGAATTGACAAAAGAGGATAATGTTTTTTTTTACGTTTATAGCCGGGAAACGAGGGAGGATTACGACTTTATCACATGGCGAATCACGACATCTGTCGTTCATGGAAATAGTTATCTATTAGTTCGTTTCAGATAAATGGACTCGATCACGGAAAAAGTCGTAACCGACCAACAGTTACATGAACTATACGAGCACTATACGATGACAAGTCCGCTGATTTTAGTTGTCGATAATTCCGTATTTGAAAGTCATGAAGATCGTTACCAAATCTGGCGCGTTTGAGGTTGAAGATAGTCACTTACCTATAATGGCATTGCAGATTAAAATCTCGAGTTCAAACCTCTTGCTCGCCACCTAATCCGGGGTGTAACAAATTGGGTAGGCGATGCTGAACTTGAAAGATTCCGTTTCCCCTAACCAGCGTTTCTAATACTGTGTATCGCCGGAGTGTTCCGCGGGACAGGGATCGAAATTGCGACCGCGCGCCTCTGGGTCCGCCGTACTTCAGCGCCTCTGGGTCGTATATTTGTCTCCTAACTAGCGAGAAACAGGCGGACAGGCCTCGTGCCAGTCTGGAAAGCATGGCATTTTTCGTCAACCTTCCAATATCGTTAACCATCGGCATAATTTTTGAATTGTCAAGTTTACAGCAAACTTTTTAATTTTACCATAGGCTAATTTATTTGAAAACCACCCTTCCTAATGGATTGTTGGCTTGAAACTGGAAGACTCAAAAGATGCTGTGATAAGCCTGTTGTGCAAGTTGACGCACAAAGTAAATTCTTTACACAAATTTTTATTATCAATTTTACCTTCTAATTCTTAGTGTTCCGCGAGGCGAGATAAAAAGCGTAGTTTTTCCAAGCAAAAAAAGTTTGATAAACTCTACCCTAAACTATGGATCTCCTTACCTAGCGGTGTATGTTTGTACATTGCCCTGTTTAAAGCGAAAGGCTTATGATAAAACAAGTGACCTGGAAGTTTATTTTTAGCTTTCAGGCGGATGGGACCGAAAAATATTGGTTTGGAATCTACGAACAGGACAACTTCATGATCAGTTGCGAGCGAATAAGACTCGTTATGACATCAACACTGGAAAAGAAATTCCACCTGATGATATCGAGGATGCAGTCAACGAAGACGAACTAGCTGAAGGAGAATTGGCATGTGATGGTGTTATACTTGATATTGAATACTGTAAAGAAAGGTAGGAAAATATTTATTATTCACTGTGGTATTTTCTATATTTTCTTTCTTTTTTGAAATGATTGAGTAAAATGAGTTAGGATTAGGAAGGCCTCAGTTGTCATTTGAATGGCCTCTTCCACCGAGGGTACAGTCAGTCCAATGAAAAGAAGCTGGATTATTATAGTTAGGATATTTTGGGAAACAGCCCAATGGTCTGTCAGGTCTGGTTTTATCTGAAATATAATTTCACGTGAGCTTTATGTCGATTTACGTAAAAAATTGTATTTTTCAATTCAAAATGTGGTTGATAATATTTGAAGTTGGTACTCTACCCGAATACAAATTATAGCGTGTTGCGGATGTGGAAAAATATTTATTTAGGGACTAGTTATTTGCAGTATGTTACATGAAATTTTTGAACAAAGCTTTTGATTTCTGGAATGTTGTGTTTAGTATAATATTGGAAACCAAGAGGAAAGTCCCCGTGTTATCAAGTGTTTTACTAAACATAGCTCCATAAACTTACGCCTAAATGATACTGACATTTTTTGTCCGATTTAAATTTTCTTTTATAGAAATGAATATGCCTACGCGAGCAGTGACGGTATGGTTTATATCCGGGACTTTAGCACCGTTGGATCTGAAATGAAGCTACGTAATACCTTACAAGGACACGAACTAGAAATCACATGCATCAAATGGAATGCTATTTATCATAGATGGATAAGTGGCTCGGAGGATGGTACGATAAGAATATGGGTAAGAGAATCTAAATTTGACGCATACTATTTTCCGTTAAGGTAACATGGTGTGCCGACTCTCGAGTACGACGAACTCTCGAAAATCCAAAATTTGACTCCGTAATAAGTATCGCTCCGGCCCTCAAATTTTTGTCGACAAAATTTGTGAAACTCAGCTCTACCTTGCCGAAAAATATTCTCCATACTTGTCACAACACCTCTTACCGTCTTAAGATACGCGAATAAAAGTATATCACATTGCGTTACTGTCAATTTGTGGAGACAAACCATGTTACATTTCATGAACCTCTTTTAACAGACTGACGACGGCATGTCATGTGAGCACATACTATCAACTGAGGGCAGTGTATCAACACTATGCATTGATCGGACTAACGGTTCTATTGTGGCCGGTGTTGAAAATATAATAAAGTGAGTAAATATTTTTAATATTTATTTTTTTTTATATGTAAAATATTATTTCACGTCCTATATTTTTAGAGTGTACGACTTGGAAACAATGAATTTAGTGCAGACAAACGTCGGACACACGGACAGTATACGAAGTATAATACATGTTCTGGAAAGGTCGCAGGTATGTCATTTTGCAGCACAATGGCGGCTGTATTCCAGCTATCCGTATCTAATTTATTCGTTTTCGTTTTTTATAGTACGTTTCTGGTTCTTGGGATAAATCCATACGAATTTGGAACGCGTACAAAAGACCAGTTCGTCGCAGAAAACCCGCACCACGTGACGCGGATGACAAAGCCAGTCCGCAGGTAAAAGAAGAAAAAAAAGTTGCCGTTTAGACCAGTGGTTCTCAACCGTTATTTTCTCATGGCCCATCTTTATCGTCGAAAGATATCTGATTAAAAATTTATTGGAAATTCTGAAAAATATAAAAATAATCATTGCTACTATTTATCAGCTTCTCAGGTTAAATTTTCAAAACTTGGTTCAACCCAAGCATAAAACCTTTTTCAACTTGTAATTCATGATGTGTTTCTGGGGACCCGCTGTAGGTCCAATGAAAACTCCAGGTCCATTAAAAAAATCATCATGGTTCAAGAAGGCCGGCGGCGTAAGCCCTAAGGGACCACCTTGAGGAACACTGGAATATTAAATATCACTGTTTTTGGTCGCAGAATTCTAAGGGTTTGTTTTGCTATATACGGTAAATACACAGTTACCGGTACCGAGCATTAACTATGACACAACTAAAGTCAAGTTTCACATACTGATTGTTGTCTTCGTATCTGTACCTTCTACAATATACATATTGCAACTTTTAAATAAAACAATCCTCTCCTTTACCTAGAATTCTGGGCCGTATATAAAAATATTTTATAATGATGTAAAATTGCTTTTGTTATATTGTATTTCTAGGCATAGCTGTGTCTTTTACACATTGTTATACGTTTGAGATTTATTTGTGTTATGTTACCTGCTTCATGTTATATACTTATGCATATTTTGTTTAGATTATATATATATTTTTATATACAAGAAGTACACTTTTGATGCCAAAAATAAATTTACCTAACAGTATTTACCTATGTTCTTGTTAATGTATACTTTCAAGAGATGTCAAAATATTATTCAACATCATTCCAAAAATCTTACTGTGAAAATTTAAACTGATATTTTTATTTCTAAAGTTTTAGTATCGACTGTTTGAATCTATGTAATACTTCTCCCTCCTTGTCCCACCAAACCCAATTTTTCATGATTTTCATAATTCTCCGCTTTTATATTGCAAATATATACGTCCATGCATGATCTCGTTCCAATCGAGGATATTTCAACCACAGTTTATACTTGTGAATATAATTAAATGTTATCTACACAGTAATGACTGTACCGTAATGACTAAAATAAAATTGTTACACTCCGTGCCGAATATTGTACTATAGAGATTTTAGAATTATCCTATATTTTTATATAAATATGTTATAGTATTTGCATGCAAAGATTATATTTATTTTGTTAGAAACAAATATATATTTACATTTTCATGATCTCATTTCGTCTGCATTTACAAAAATTCCCTTCAGTTTCGCCCGGTCACCAACTCCTGAGTCCTTCAACTAAAAGCTGTAGGCTGTAGTCAAAGGTAGTAGATTTTGAAATACGAATATATGTTCACCGGCCACGAGTGTAAATTCGCCATACTTGACCCATACCCTGTCTATGTAACTTTGGCTCAGTAAGTCGTGCAAAACGCTAACCAACAAAACCTATATAGGTGAAGCGGAGTTAGGTCGCGGATGAACAGCTAAGACTTTAAAAATCAGTGATAAAAGAAGCCAGTTTACAGTGCAATATAACTGCAATAAAGAGAAGCAGTTGCAGTTCAGAGAAATGTTGGTCGCTTTAAAAAAATCCATACCTATACATACAGTGTACTGTTTTGATGTCGGAATTTGCAACACGGTATATAAATGGCCCATGGCAACGGGAAAACACAATGCCGAATGAAGGGCGTGGGCCGCCGCTGCAACAAATGAATGTAATTGTAAGTAATGTCTCTGGCATATGACACACGACACCTTTCTTGTCATATATATTCTTTTTTGGTTTGCATATTGACTGTATCACCTGGGCTAAATTAGGTAGCAATTTTGAAGACTTATCAAAATATTTCTTTTGTTCGCTTCTTTTGTGCAGCAATTGAGCATGCAGTTCTTTCGAATTTTCAGGATTCAACAAATTCTTTGATTTAGGTATGTCGCCTTTTGTTCGACGTGATAGCAACCGTTGTGCAGAAGAACCAAGTATATATGTCATATCCAGGCACATTTTGAATGTTTAATTAGGTAACGTATGGATCAGATCGATCTAATTTTCCAGCTAATCCGTTGTTTGAGGAAATGTTTTGATCAGTCTTGTTTTTTTTAGCCAGTTCATGAGCTTTTGGTGAGGGAATGGAAACAATTGTCAGAATATCAAAATCATCATAATCATGCATAATATTTTCAGGTTTATCATTTGAAACTTATGCTCGTGACTATGTATCAACAATATATATACATTTCAATACCCTTCTTATGAATTATTTTCAAATCATACTTTTGTAAACGTAACATTATTTTTTGTAATCTGAGGGTTGCACTCAGAAAAGGTTTCGTCAAGATAGATTGTAGAGGTTTATGATCAGATTCAATGAAAACTTTTTTACCAAATATACAATGATGAAATATTCGCAATCTGTGCATACCTCGTTTCAGTATCGATTAATGCACGTGACATGCATAAGCAATGGGTACATTATCATGCAAACGAGAAGCTCCAAAACCTTTCTGGAATGCATCACATGTTAAAGTTACACTTTTGTTGCAGACAAAAATTTTTAAATTGGCATATTAGTAAGCATATTTTTGCGCATATTAAAGAGCATTACGTTCATTTTTATTTCAACCACGTCATGGCTAAACAACAAACGTAAATTAGCAGTATGTTCACTCAATTTTGGCATAAATTTAGCAAGGTAAGAAATCATTCCAATAGTCAGAGTCAAGTTTATTTTTTCCATCAAGTGAAAAATACCCTACGAAATTGACAAAATTGAACATATTTTTACTGGGGAAGGGAAGTCGCGGGGGACCAGGATTGGTTATCGAGCAGCGACACCCAAATTAAAATTGTAAAAAAATTGTATTAATTAAAATAAAACCGCGTTTGCATTGTTGTCCCCAATTGAATGTTTTATAATTTATTACATTGGAGTTTAAAATCCCTGACCTAGGCTGTACACTCTCGTATACTGTTTATCAGTTGTATCAACAGCGCCGGATTAACCATTAAACAATATAAGCCCGTTCTTATAGGACACCAAGCAAAGAGGGGCACCACATAAATTTAAGAGCAGAATTTCATATAGTTTATTAAGTCGATGTTTAGTAAGATATTACGAGCTCATCAGACGACTCAAACATCAAAGTGTTCGCATATTTTTTGTCTTTAAGTATCATATTAACCTTCTTTATTAAAAATAAATACTGAAACTTATTTATTGGACACGAAATGGGCCTATGAGTCGTTTTCCTAAATTGTTGTTGTGTTTTCTTTCTAGTATTCATCTTGTTGCTGCATTTTTGTTTTAAAAAAATTCTTTTCTTTTCAACAATTGGACCAATGAACTATTTGCATTATGTGGCAGTTCCACGATCGCATTTCAACGATTTAGTGGTCAGCGAAGTCGGGAGTTTTTTGATAATGTTGTGCTGATACCAGTGGCGGCGCGTGGTCATTTTGACAACCGGGGCAAGCTACTGCGTGACCAAGTCACCCCCATCTACGGGGACAGGATGAGCACTGTAAGTTCTCCCATCATTTTATGAGTATAAAAACCATTCCATCGGTAACAACCAATCGGCAAAAGCGACAATTTTCAACGATAAGAAAGTGTCTTTAAAACCGGTCCAAGTCAAGTGATTAATAAATATAGACATAGTTTATTTTGAAACCTCTTTCAAAAGGAAAGGCAATATTTACCCAGATAAATACAATGACATATTAACAGAAACTTAGGGAAAGCAGACAAAACCTAAAATAAGGTTTAAAACGTTACTATGAAGAAAGGAAAGCTAATGCAAAGATAAGGACATGTGTCGCTCACTCATAGATATATATGCTGCTAGACTTCTACTGCTTGAACATATATGCAACACGCCGCGGTTTCTTGGAAGCAAAATGCTCAATAACGCGCTGATTAAAGTCATGCATCCCAGAAATAACGTCTCTGTGAATGGATAAAACAGCCAAGGAATTTAATCTATCTTGCTTCATTGTGTTTCTGAGATACGTTTTAATACGCTTCAGCGTGCTGAATGTTCGCTCTGCGTCGGCGGAAGAAATAGGCGTCGTCAAAATGATGTCCAGAAATTTTGCAGACGCCGCAAAGGTAGTTACTAGAGTGTTATCTATGAGGAACCCATAGAGCGCGCAAGTTGATGTGATGTTCAAAAAAGTTTGATTGGTGTATATACATCGCAATTCATTTTCCAATTTACCCACGTTTATCATGGGGTAAAATTTGGAGACAGTAGCCAACAAATGGATGGGAAATTGACGTGCAAATTTTAAAAATTTTTGGGGTTCATCAAAGAGAACGCGGCAAGGTGTTCAGTGCGCAGACGATCGCCTATTTGATTCACCAGAATGTCACAGCATTCCTTTGCAGACAAAATCAAACGCTGCGTTGTTTGCCCGCGGCGTAAAGAAGCACTCCATGTGTCGTCGTATTTTATTGTTTCCCGGATACGAGATACAGCATCGCAGAAGTCTGAAATACACGACTGCACAGACGCTCCATCCATTAGCCTTGACTGCAATGCGCCGTATAATACATCCACGATCTCTCGGTAGGTTTACCATCTTTCACAAACCGAAAAATCACAGCCAGTTGGGAAACGCACGTGATGTCAGTTGTCTCGTCAGACTGAATCGAAAGGAACTGGCAATTCTCAATTTCCAGAGCCAAATGTTGTAAATAAATTTTATACATTGAGTCGAGCAAATCATTTTGGATATCCTTAGATGTCCCTTTCGAAACAGTTGCGGCATCAAGATGATCTCTCAATACTGTATCTAGGGATGCGGTGTATTCCACCATATCCAATAATACCCCTCTATTAGAAGAGCCAGTCCGCTAATCGTGCCCACGGGGGACAGCTCGTGACAACCAATGAACTTCAAAACATCTATCAATCGACCGAGAACATGGCGGTTTTTCTCGACGTTTTGGTTGTGCCGACGAATAGAAACCGCGCGTCCTTCATCCAACTGTGCTGCAATATTAACATTTCCGAATGTTAGGTATTTTACTGCATTGTCCAGATGCTCCATAGAAGATTGATGATCCCTGGCACGCTCGGAAAGATGTTTAAGATCTCTAAAACCAAATTTACACCAACGTGAGTCACGGGCGGTAGCAAAAAGTAGGCAATAAAAACAAAAAAGTGCATTTTTGTCCTCGCTGTAACACAACCATTCGTTGTTTTTCATACCAAGTTTCTGCGCAGAATGTACGCCGACGCTTTCCTCCGTCATGGGATTGTTCCAGTGAACAATTTTTTGGTTGATAGGGCCCAAGACGTTGTACCTCCATTTTTTTGTTCCAGCGGCAGCTGCGAAAACGGAGTGCGAAGTAGTGCATCAACCTTATTCATTATGAGGTCTAAGGCTAAGAAATGCGAAGCCGGAAAGAAGTGAAGAGCTCAAAAGGAATGTGGAAAATCGAAAGCAAATGGACTAAAGGTCTCTAACTGATTCAAATAGCGAAACAAGCGACAAAAACGAAGGCGAGGAAACTATCAACTCTTCAAGCAACCAACGAACGAGAAGGAATGCGTGAATATGTCAACACGTTGTTGTAAGAAACGTCGGCATTGTGTAGTCATAATTTCGGGGCTAGCCCCGATCGGCCCCGATGATTTAGTAAAAGAAACAGAAAACAAACGCGGCGAGTGGAAGATAAAAGAGAGAATACGATATACAATGAGCAACCGGGGCAAAATCGGCGTCACCCCGTCGACGTTCGGCGAAGGCTTTGCGAGCGAAAAATGAACCATGTCGGGAGAATATGGCTAGTGTAGACAGTCTGTGCAACCGATATTGAGGTATTTTTCGAATATTTTTCATTATACCGAAAAAACTTTGGCATTGCCCCGGTTGGCCCTATTGACGCGCCGCCACTGGCTGATACATTCCGTGCGGCCCACAGAACAATTTTAGCGTATATTTATAACTAATAGCAGAACGTTTTTGAGTTTTTTTTTAGCTATTCCAACTGTGGTTGGAATCCCGAGATTGAAACCCTTTCTACTAACGTATTGTGCCTTTATTCTAGTAAAGCACACATCCTCTGTTGTTTTCAAGCGTGGGCCATGTGACAGTGGTGACGAAACGCAGAACCCAATTAACGCCTCGCAATCCAGTTTTTTTAGTTAGGTCCCGAAATACTAACTTAGACGGACTTGGTTGTCATTTGACGATGGCACTAAGCTTGTTCACGCTG